CTGCGCCGGTAGTCGAGCCGTACCTATTCTCCCTGTGCCGGTAGTCGAGCCGTACCTATTCTCCCTGCGCCGGTAGTCGAGCCGCGCCTATCCCCCTATTCTTCCTCCTATCTCCTCCTCCCCGTACCTATTCTCCCTCCGCCGGTAGTCTAGCCGCGCGGTGCCCGCCGTCACGGAGAAAAGCGGGTGGGCGGCCGCCTCCATGGTAAACAGCGCGCGCTCCAGCAGCTCGGCCGAGAGCGCCAGGTCCTCGCCCAGACGGCACACGTCCGACAGCTGCAGCATCGAGTTCACGTGGCCCGGGTGGCGGTTCATCAGCGCCTGTGGAACGGTAGGAGGGGGGGGGGGGAAGGCGGGTCACTGGCAGGGCAGGGACGGGGTCAGCGGTCGAGATAAGGGGTCGAATGGAGCGGGGTAGGGTGAGATATGATAGTACCAGGAGGTAGTGGGGTAGGGAAAGGGATAGAGATAGAGCAGAAGCGGGACAAATCGAAATAACGAAGGGACGGAAACCGGTGTCGGGATCGGACAAGAAGAAAGCCAGTTCAGCACACAAAAAGATCAGGGTAGAAGAACTAACAGATCTAAGACAGATTGAAAGGGATCAGAAGCACGACAGATGTATATTAACAGGGACAAGGCAGAGAGTGGTACACAGAGCGACGCGTCCCACACGGTCCGTACGTCGTAGCGTGTCCATCCGTCCGTCCTCGTCTATCCATCCGTTCGTCTGTCTGTGTGCCCGTGCGTCCGTCCTGGTTCATACATCCGCCCCCTCGAGGGCGCTCTGTTCCACCCACCAGAATGTTGTCAGGGTTGACCGACTCTACAGCGGCCAGGAACTGATGTTCCACCTCCTGGTACTGGGGGCCGTGCACAAACTGAAACCACTGCTCCGAGCCACGCTGTTCCACTAGCTCCATCGATAAACCTGCCAAAGGAGGGTAGAGGTTAACACGGGGATCGGCACAGATCAGAGCAGTCAGCCGCCGGACAGAGTGGAAAGGGGAGCGGTGCGGAGCCGAAGGACAACTGAAACAACCGAACAAAAACTGCTAAGTATTAGACACGTGACCAATCGTGGCGGCCATTTTACCCACTGTGACACCCCTGTGACCTGACACTGGCTGACATAGTTTTATTGATTATCGACAGCCCTGACATCACGAAATTACCAACACTGCTGGAGGAGCAAAAGGAAGCACTGACTGACCTGAACGACATCCAGTTTCTGACACCATCTTATAAACGTACAAGCCGTACTCGCCACGCCATATGTGGAAGGCTTTTGATGTTAATACATACATACATACATACATAAGAATAACCGTGACTAGCCGAGTTTGGTGGGAACTAACTCACCGAGTTTGACGGGCGGCGGGAAGCGGTGCACGTTTGTGACCATGGAGAAGGAGCGCGGGTGGCCGGGCCCGCGGCGCCGGCCCGTCCGCCGCTGGTCCACCACGTCACGGCCGAACATGCGGCGCATCTCCGCGTCCGGGTTCTGCCCAACGGATGGATGGAGGAGTGTTAGAGATGGGGAGGGGGGGGGGGTGTCACAGCTGATGGTGCAAGAGCCACATACGACGAGAAGAGAGCTGGAGGGGAGACATTCGTGACAAAACGGGCCCTTCTCGTCCAAAACGGAGATATTCGTTACGTTATTAACTGTGGCTCACACTCACGACGACAGAGGGGTCATACGCGCCTGCAAGGTTACAGAACATGAGGCTCAACCCAACACAGCCCGCTATACTCCATGACCCTAATTGATACTCTACTAGTTGTATTCCACGACTCTAATTGAACGACAGCCCACATTTCTAAACAGCTGTCCTCATACCCACCAGATGTTTGCGCTCAATGGTGAGCACGTTTTTGACGATGGTGCTGTTGGTGTGTTCCGTGGCCGGCGACTGGACGGTGATCTCTCCCAGGAGGCGGTTCACCTCCAGCACGCTGGCGTCGACCTCGTCCACCTGGCGGCAGGGTTGGAAGCTGAGTTTGACAAGACAAACTCAAGGGCTCAAGGTAACTAGGCGCCCAACAGCGAAGAGTAAGCGCTAGCCATCCATAGTCCATACCCAGTTGGTCCTGCGGCGTATGAACTATGGGCGACAAGCTCAAAACAGTTGTATCTAAATGAAAACGACCCATTTCTTTCCTATTCCAATGCACGCTATTACTATTTACTTTTCCTTGCCTCGGCAGATGCAGCAAACGCGACTCTTGAGGTCGCAATAAAATCGGCCCATGTCCCGTATGACGTCTTGTTCGAGTGCTACTCCCCATTGTCCTGCTACTTGCTGGTATTACCGACAGAATTTACCGTCCAGCTAGCATAGCCGATCGGCTCACCAGCACACCTTCCTCCGGTCCGCCCCGTCTCCATTCAACGCGCCAATCGCAACGCCGACTTACGTCGACCGCTCGCACCACGACGTCGCCTACCTCCGACACCGTGTTATCCTCGCTACTGGCTGCCGCCGGCCGGCGCGAGGACTTCTTCTTCTTGCGCTTCCGCTTCCCCTGCGTCTGCGGCAGCGGCGCCGGCGCACTCGTGTCGACGTCGTCATCCTCCTTGACGTCAGTCTCCGACTGCGACTCATTCAGCTGAGGGAGGGGTAGAAGAGGATGACAGGTAAATGAGAGAAAGGTGCAAATAAAAGGACATAATCAAATAACATAAAAAATGACACAATTTCAGCTTCTGGAGTATAATAATAAGACAAGTAGTTGCACCCTGTCTCATTTGAAATCAACTCTCACCTCAAGATATTCAGCCATGGGTGAGTGGGCCAAGCCAAAGATCAAGTGAGGTTAGGTATTTGTTTAGTGAGGCAAAAGACTAAGGCAAGAAGGCATTTCTATTTAGTAATTAACAATCAATTTTTACTTTTGTTTCGTTGATGATTTTTTGACTACAGTTAAATTAAAGATTGATAATATATACATTATACAATATTAAATTATGGATTGAGGCTTTGGAAGTTTAAGTGGTCGGAAGTGTTTTGGTTAGTCCCGTTATCTTTACCAGTTTCGCGCAGATAATCAGTTTTGTACATACATAGTGATATGCCGTGTTCGTAATTTTAGGTAGAATAATTTGGCGATAATTTGAACATCAGAATATGTAAAGAAATTAACCCTCGCCCGCACATGGGGGGGGGGGGTTGCCACCCCCCCCCCCAGGTAGTCTTTCTGCTCTGCACTCAACATTTTTAGAGCTAGAAGGCTGATTTTTCGTATAGCTGCTCCTCTATCCTTTCTTGATGTCCACTGAAAATTTCAAGTTTCTGTGATTTTTGGTTTCAGAGATATGACCTTGTTTTTCAGGTCATGTCATGACCCAAATGGCCAATTCTCAACATCTTGCGTTTGCCATGGGCGTTGTGAGCTTTTGACACCTTGATTTCGGCCTTTTTTTGCCAGTCTTACCTCCCACCTATCATGGAACATGTTGTTCGACGATGTACAGGTGTCAAGGTCAGGGTCAAGGTTAACCTAGGTCATCTAAGATAATTGCGTTTTAGGCAAGCAAAATTTACTTTTTGTGAAGTTTTTTTTACTGCATTTTTGGTAAAAGCTTCTCAGATCATGATTTCATGTAATATGGACACAAAAACAATCGGTGCACACATCAGTATATACACAGACACACACAGACATACAAACACATATAATTGACCTGGACCTAACTTGACCTGAAATGACCTCAGCAGTGATCAGCCACTCAGTTTATCTACCTATGGCAGGCAAATAGGTATTAACTCTTAATGTGAGATAACTTGCCATGACCTCCTGACCTGACCTGTGGTGACCTTGGTCTGAAATTTTCACATGTGCAGAAAAGATGTAGTCACTATTTTTTAAATATCCATTGAAACACCTCCCCAGCAGGGTGCAGGTTAATGAGACATACCAAGCTGAAGATGTTGGCTGGTCGAGATGAAGTGTCACTGGTCAGGTCATCGGCCTCCTCCTCATCCCCAGGGTGAAGGGGAGATGGCTCCTCAGCAATAGCTGGCTTCCCTTTCAGCTTTCTCAGGTTCCGAGATGACATTGTGCCAATTGCCGATCTGTTGAATAAAATGTATTTGATCATCACGAAGTGAACATGACTTGTAAGTTAGGCTAAATAAGCAAAAATCTTGGTATTAGTAAATATAAGTCCGAGTGGACAATTGTGACGCTGTTGATACAAATATGTAACAGCAAAAAATTTAGGTTTTAGGTTATGTTAGGTTGTAGGTTTATAGGTTTTAGGTTTTAGGTTGGTAGGTTTGTAGGTTAAGTTAGGTTAGGTTGTAGGTTTGTAGGTTGTAGGTTGGTAGGTTGTAGGTAAATAGGTAAGGTTAGGTCAGGTTTGATTATGTTTTTTCTTTTATTTCCAAGACATATAAGTATCATTTTGGATTCAGGATGTCAAATAATGTAAGAATATAAAAACTATCTTTTAACAGTCACTCGGACTCAATGTATACTTTTATCAAAATCTTTATAGCCTTGCGCCTTGCCGCTTGTCACGACCACGGACCATACAACACAAATAACCATAACAATAGCTGGGACAATATCTTATAACTGGGATCTTATAACAATATCCAATAGCTGGGAGATCTTGAAACCCTCAAATGCAAGTGAACTTTTAATTGTTAGTAAGGACCTGAAAAAGTACCTAATTTACCGTGCACCAGCAATCACACAAAGCAAAAACAAAAACAAAAATGTGACTTTCGGTTTCTACACAGCGCAAAGACCCCGTTAACTTTATACAATTATGGCTCACACGACAAACCATATCATCAAATGCTGTTCAGAAAGCTGAAAATGACGGGACTGAAACTGTTGTTGCTAGGTAACTAGCATTAATCGCTGGAACTTTCGCAAGTTGCGTGGCAACTGCTATTTGAGAGCAGTTTCATCTAATGAAAATGCAGCATTCGAACATAAATAACGCATATGAAGCTTCTTGAGGGTAAACATGGATTAGGTATTCCTGGATCGGACACTCCGCCGATTTTCCGACTTTCCGACCACCCGGCGGCGGCGGCGGATTTCCCGACGGCGAGGGCGCTGGCGTCATTTTAGCATTGCGGGCTATGGGCGGAGCGTGTCTTTTTGTATACTTTTGTCGTTTATTACTTACCTATAACCGATTTTGATGAAAATTTTTGTGAACCAGGTAGAACAGGAATTGAGGAATGTCATGGAAATATTCTTTTCCCAGTTTTGATTTAAGAAGTTGCTTAAATTCTGCTGACAAGTGAGGGTTCGTGATTACAGCCGAAGAGCCAATGTTGGAATAAAGTTAAGTTTTATGCGATAACATGAAAATAAGTTGATATTTGTATTAAATCATCAATAGGAACTTGTTTGACTGCCAAGGAACGATGATATTTGATGATAAATTGCATCGGCAAGTCAAGAATACCGGCTCAGTTTATGGGCATCAGGTAATGATTCCTTATGTGATAGTGACTAAATGGAGCCATAATAATTATAAGAAAGGACTAAAAATTATGTTTAAAGTGTCTGAAATTGTGTCTTATGAGCTAAAGTTCGCTAATTTCGCCCTCCATTACCGCGTTTTTAGCACGGAAGCCGGTGCGGCGGCCGCCGGCGCACTCGCCGCCGATGTTTCGGAGCTCCGCCACCAGGGCGGCCGCTTGGTCGCCGGCGCTAGTGTTGGGGAATAGGGAGTGTCCTATCCAGGAATACTTCATCCATGGGGTAAACAAAGCAGCACGTGTCAGTCGGGGAAACTATGGTAAAATCTGCTATTTTTAGCAGTCTGCTATTTTTAGCAGAAATCTGCTAAAAATGGGTACGCATGTGACGTCATCGTACCCAAATATAGCAGATTTGGGTACGGCCCCCGACAAAAGCAGATCTGCACCCTAATTGAAGCAAATGCGCATCAAATGCCTGGCAGATTCATGATTAGAATAGTGCTGAGAATGTCCTCTGATATTTTTGTTCAGATCCGACTATGAATGAATGATTAGAATAGTGCTGAGAATGTCCTCTGATATTTTTGTTCAGATCCGACTAATGAATTTCAAAATAGTCGGATCTGAACAAAAATAGCAGAGAACACCCTCAGCACTATTCTCATCATGAATCTGCCAGGCATTTGATGCGCATTTGCTTCAATTAGGGTGCAGATCTGCTTTTGTATGGGGCCGTACCCAAATCTGCTATATTTGGGTACGATGACGTCACATGCGTACCCATTTTTGGCAGATTTCTGCTAAAAATAGCAGACTGCTAAAAATAGCAGATTTTACCATAGTTTCCCCGACTGGTGTCCCCTTCAACTGTATAGTTTGCGGTTTTATGATTTTTTTTAACTTTCTGTTAATTTATGTGATAATCGTAGCATTTGAAAAAAAAGTTTTGAAGGCAGGGATGCCAAAGGGATCAAAGATGTATAAATATATCAATATTTTGTTGCAGAAAGCAGGCCTTTTGTCTCTTGACTCTTGTGGATAGGTAAAAACTACAAAGACTAGGTATGTTACATGTAGCTTTGTTCAAGTTTCAACTTTGATGTATCCTGACAACATTTGTGTTTTTCATTCTTTTCTCATACACACTACTTGCAGACTGGAGTCCATATTTTGTAGCAGCCAGTTCTGCCTGTCTTCACGATGGGAGGCCATGATGACCACCACCACAACCACCATGGTGACTGTGCCCATGAGGACACCGGCGTGGACCCATCAGAGATGGGCATTATGTACAGCCTCTACCAGAAGATTGACATTGACCATGTAGTCTGTTTAAATGAACAGGAAGAAGAATCGGGCAAGACTATCTTCAAAGCCTGGGAGAACAGGCTCGACAAAGAAAAGGTACCTACTACGGTATTTATTTACTTTAGGACCGGCAGCCTTTACTTTCGTCACGAACCCCAAGTGATAGTAAGAAGCATATCACATGACATAATTTGACCTTTTGATTTCATAGCTGATAGTCATTCATGGCACAAACAAGCTTAAATGCACCAATACAATATTTACCGTCACCGCCGCAGATCCCCACCGACTGCGTACTCCACCGGCCACGCACCGCGCTCCAAGGTTTAGTGAATACATATACGATGATATTCAACTGTGAGGAAAGTGACGTCATGAAATTTCTCGTCGCGAAGCAGCGGCAGTGCCGAAGGCAATGCCTTAGGAGAGATTACAGGCAATGGTAGGTCAAATATTTTTAGGTTAAGTGGTTGTGTATTTGGCTTCAGGCCGAAGGCCTGAAGCCTAATGCACAATCACTTAACCTAAAAATATTTGACCTACCATTGCTTGCAATCTATTCATGCGAGCAACTTTTCCTTATCCCCGGGTAGGCAAATATCAGTAGGTCAGGTTAGGTAAGGTTAGGTTATGTTCTGATAATTTTTTCCGTGTTTAATTTGCTATCCTACCCCATTTGCTCCCCCACCCAAAAACCCCGGTTCCCAACATTTCCTCTATTTTGTTTGGTATTATGACGTCATTTTCATTGAATTAAACATGCACACATTTTTCCTTTTCGCAAATGGCAACGGCGCAAACACGTTGTTTATCCTTATTGCCGCATTCGTATAATTTCGTCGGTGTACGTTACGTGACGCGGGGTGAGGTGGCTGGATTTTATCAAGTTTTTGTGTGACTTTTTGCAGTTTTGGTGACATGTAAGTATCATTTCTTGATTAAGGATGTCAAATAATGGAAGATTGTCAAAAATTTCCCTTTGAAAAAGTGTGCCGGTCCTAAAGTAAATATTTACCCCTACTACCTACCTAGCTCACTGATTGCTAGTATGATTGGCTTAGGAGTCTGGACTCTGGAGGCTCAGAAATCTTGGTATAAAAGACTCTGTATCTGTGCTGAACTAGCTAGAAGCTGAATCACAAAAAAGTGAAGGGTCATCATGAATTTGTAGATGCCCAGTAGCTTGACAAAGTGTTGACAGTGGAAGTGTCTACTTCCTGAGTACTGTGTGATGAGAGGCTGGTTCTGATTGCTATTTGCTTAAAACATTCAACAGGATGGTCTGTGGTTAGTCACTGTGATCACTGATCATAATAGATGCTGTGCTCTAAGTCCTGCCTGGTATTTCCTGAATGAGCAGAGGTTAGAGTTGCTGATGATCAATGCAGGACAATATCTGCCCAGCATGTTTTCTGAATTCTGACCTTGGAAATGTGGTCATAGAACACTGGCTGTTGGATACATTTCAGAAATAAGACTGAACCAGCCTTAAGTTGTATTGACAAGATTTTACCAAATGCTCTTACCTTTTTTACAGTACGTGGATTCTGATGCTGATGCGGAATTACTCATAAACATACCGTAAGTTAAGATCATTTATGCATCAATATTTTGTTTTATAATCAATGTTTCTAAAGAACAAATGACTGGCTTCATTTGTTATGTTTGAATATAAGAATCGCCATTCACTATGGAGAACAGTCACCATACTAAAGCTACTAATATCAATTTAATGCTCACTTCCTCGTGGCTTTTTAGGTTCACCGGCAACATCAAGCTGAAGGGGCTGATTCTGATCGGTGGAGAGGAGGGCACGCACCCCACCAAGATCAGACTGTAAGTACGGGTGAGCTGCAGCAAGGTGCGGGGGTCGGTGCGATTGAAAATTTAGAACTGTTTCATGTGTGCGGTTGTGGAACGGTCGATGTGTCTGAACTCTGAAACAGTACGCCAGTGTACGGTCAGCTAGTATTTGGTGAATATGTTGTATTCGTGAAATGGGTGAATTAATTATTTGTCATTTGGTGTGCCCTGATCGTAAGTTTGAAACCATGGAAAACGTCAGTCTACCGGTACTCGTGTTGTAATTGTGACTTGTTATTGTACTGTTTTCACATATTTCAGCCTACAGTCCTTCCTCCAATAACCCACTAAGAACAAACAATGAATACGTGCAAAACAGCCGCATTGAACAACAACTTTTCTGTTATGTTGCGACTTGCGATCTGACGTATCTGACGCACTCGTGCCGCCAGCTTCAAGAACCGGCCTCAAATGACGTTTGATGACGTGGGCGCGCCGCCTGATCAGGAGTTTGAGCTCCATCGTGATCCGGAGGGGAAGCTGGAGTACAGCACAAAGTAAGTCGGGCAGGACCGCTATACCGATGCGGCCAACCGTGCTTCGTCGCCAGTCCGAATATTCGTCTTGGATTTTGCCATAGCTTTTTTGCTCATGTGATGACAGTATGAAAAGCATGAGGATTCACAATTGATGTACCTCTTGAGCGTTTTTCCAGTTCAATTCGTTAATCTTAAAATGAGAAAAAGAACAATGAATGCGCAGGCAGAAATATTTGTCGGACGATCTGTGCGTGATGCACATCGCCACGTCTGCTTTCCGATCTCTCTGCTAGGTGGCGCTGGTGACCAATCAATAGATGTCGCCACCTGACATTCACCCACCCTCCGCCAGAGTGGTGACATTTTCCTCCGTCCACCATCTGACCGTCCACGTGCCGGGCAACATGGGCGGCGGCGACGTGACGCGACTCTACTACCTGGGCCTGCGGGGAGAGTTCACTCCGGCACACCGGCACGGCGTCACTATCTGCAACTACGAGCTGCGGCCCAATGCCTCCGACGTCAAGGAGGAGAGTCTGCACGACGTGACCCGTCAGGTGCAGTGAGCGCCGCCCCGCGGCTGCCGCTCGTGTGTGCTGAGAGCCCGTGGGTTGGGAGGTTCATTCTGTGCAGTTGGAATGTGCGAAATATGATGTTGAAGAAAGCTAGCTGAGCCGTTTCGCTCCGGCACTGTGTATTGTGCAGCAACAACGTAAAGTTTATCAGTGATGTGGCGGAGGACCGAGGTCGGAAGGCTCGCTACCGCAGCACTTCGTGCGTCCTGTACCAGCCTGATAATAGTTGAGCGAAGCACTGAGGACGACGCGGGCACGCTCGTGATGCCTTATAAGCTGTGTCGCTTTCCCACACCCCCAGTATCTGTTGCCCCGGAGAATCTCCACTCCATGACACGTTGTTATACTGTCAGAACCGGTGAAGCTGTGATCTCTGCGGACGTCCTATGCCTAGTCCTCGGCGTCGTCCCGCGCGTGCTCCGTTCATGTGATGAACATGTGGGTGGAAGTTGGAACGCATGTTGGCGGTCTATTGGACGGTTTTTGACGGTGGTTAAATAAACGAGTTTCGTTTCGCAGGGCATATGTTGCTTGTGAGCGAGCCTTCGCGAAAAAAAATCATGTTTTGACGACAGTGGAAAAACAGGTATGCCAGAGGTCTATTGAACGCCATTGGGTAACACAGAACCAATCCGATGTCAGTGATTGTTAACCCGGCAGTTGCTGGGGTATTTCGCCACCCACCGTTTGCTGGGGGGGGGGGGGGCGTTAAAGGTAGTGTGCCAGCTTTCTTGGACCATATGGAGTTAATGACCCGGATAAGGAGAACCGGATTTTTAGAACTTATCCATACCTTCAAAACTTATGGAAACGTCTTAAATTCTTCAAATTTTGAGTACCCCAGTGCGAAATTCGCCCCGACGGGTTGTCGGTCGTACCCCAACCACATTTCACACCACTATGAACAATAAATTCACACTCTAAAATCGCTATTACCGATAGGCTCATCCAATCAAGTTTCGATAAACCCGTTCATCATCATCTCCTGCGGTTTCGAACACGCCTGTTAGGTGGCTTCTGATGCTCGTCGGGGTCGGAATTTCCAAATACGCGTGGTGCGTCGGGCCGCGCGCTCTGACTTCGGCCAAGAAAAATGCGTCAGCTGATCATTGTCATTTCTGCCACTTGCGTGTGGTGTAATGGGGTCATGTAACGGCTGTTTCATATCAATTATTTTACATAAAATCATATTTCAAACCACAAATTAATGTTCGACAGCCAAATTTAAGAAACAATACCAATACAGGCTTACAGTTTAAGGCTCGACATTGTGTTGTCTACGATTAGACAGCTGATAACTCATTCCCGTACGTCGTATGGTCGTCAAGGCCCTAAAACATAAGGTTGGACGAAGTTTTCTACCAAAAATGTACTAGAATAGCGCACGAGTCAAAGCTATTTCCGTTGTTTCTTTACAAATATGTCGCAAACAAGCTTTTTCTGTAATAAATCATTATTTTGAAGTTAAGCAACCAGTTGCTATAAATTCGATAAGCAAACACTTATTTTTTATATAAAAGCCTAGCTGATATAGTCCAACTCTAGTTGAATAATCAAGTAGCTACTAAATTTTCCAGATGTGACACAGATTGCGCACTTCAGACAAATGCGTTGCTAGGGCGTTGCTAAGGACTCTTTCGCATGTTTTGCTGCCCGGTTTTTGTAATGAAGTGAGGGAAGTGAGATGGACAGGCTTTTTGATTTTTTTCTGGTTTTCTAGGACCTTCTATTATTTAACTTGACATACTTTTCTTGCTTTTTTATCCGAGGCCTTTTAAATAGTTGGTAGATTCTAGCGTGGAAATAAAAGGGCGAGCAGGCCACTGGGGTAGGAATGCAAGTCGACTGATAGTGAAATAAAAGGTAGAAGTGTCTGTTCCATAATAAATTTAATGTGATGTGATGGAACATGAAGCAACAGGATCAGACGCAAGAACCACCAATTAAGAACCCAGAACCAGCAAGCGCCATGCAATCAAGAAGCAGCCATGGTAACGTTTGAGCTTTCAGAAAACCTTGGAAGACGCCAGACGGTGAGCAATCAAGAGATCTTACAAGACCAGTAGTTAGGTACTTGAAAACGAGAGCCGCCAGGAAGATCAGTAGATTCTTCAATGGCAACACATTTCAACATCTATCTAGCAATGATTTGCACCAGCGAGGTGCTATCATTGTGTTTTGTGTCCAGTGTCTGTATCCCTAACTGCTAAAAAATATTTGTCAATAAATAAACAAATAATGCGTCTTTTTCTACTGAAAGTAAGTTCTCCAAGTGGCAGGGGATGAATAATAGAAGGCACCTACCTGATTAATTGTCATCTATTCATTCATATTCTATTCATATTCATTGTCATAGGCAATGCAGGGGCGTCGATCGGCAGCGCCCTTACTGCATGGTACTGCGGATCGTCAATGGGTTTCTTGATGACTCCGACTCTGACTCAGGCTTTCAAAAATCAACTCTGACTGATTTCAAATGTCGGCTCTGACCGACTCCGACTCCACAGCCCTAGCAGGTCTGCGGAGGCAATGGATTTTTGGTGACTCCGACTCCGACTCTGGCTTTCAAAATCGACTCTGACACTGACTCTGGTCAGAACTGTCGACTCCGACCGACTACAACTCCGACTACGGAACCCTGAAAGGTCTGCGGAGGGGGATCGAATTTCGGTGACTGACTCAGACTCCAGCTTTTAAAATCGACTCTGACTCCGACTCGACGACTCAGGTCAGAACTGTCAACTCCGACCAACGTTATGACTCCGACTCCTGAGCCCTACTGCCAGCTATCACGCCAGGGAGCTGCAAATCGTATGTTCCGAGGCAGTTAATGGCATTAAAGTCGACAATGCCGCTGAATCGCACTATAAAACGCCCTTATTGGCTGCAAGAAGCGCGAAAGTTAGCGCATCACCACTGGAAAACGTGACAAGATATCGATTAATTGGCCCTGGATTTGGATAAACAACATGTTGATGATCATATTAGCACGCATCTACATTATCATCTATCTCAAGGTTGCCCTTCAGGCGGCTCTAAACTATGGCAATTTCCCTATCTTCAACATGTAAATGCCCTCGGGCGTCCTCGTGGTGACGTAGGCATGGGAGTGCCAGGTTGGTAGGAACTAGACTTCGACGCCCCCTGATGGTCGTAACACTATAATGACCTTTGCTTATTGTCACAAGTGCGCCGCATTCGCGATTGTTGCCCGCCGCCTGTTTGAAGGTGAGCCCCCGACTGGAAAAAATGCACGCTTTCGTCGAGAACTCGAGCGTAGTTGGGCGTTTGCGCCGAAATTTTTCGGCGTACTTCGGCGTAAATCGACGGTTTGCGCCGAAATTTTCGGCGTACTTCGGCGTAAATCGACGGTTTTCTCTATCTCTCTATCGCAAACGGCTCCGGAGCAGTCGCGAAAAACCCGTCAGGGGGTGGCACCAACCCCCCTCGGCCGGCGAGGGTTAAATGTCTTCGGGAGTTAAACATCTTAAATATCACTTATCTTGTCTCGTGTTCGTCTCAGGGTATTTAAGTCATGTTCAGTGAACCTGATTGTGACTCTCCCACGGCGGGAACAGTTCACCGATCGAGAGTGAGGTTATGGATTGTCGGATCCCCTAGTTCAGATAACGTATGCTATCGTTTGCGTATTGACCGTTGTGATTCCTGTATTTCCGGCGTGTGGTTTGCGAGCGGACGCTGGCAATCGGTCCCGCGTGGCCTGGTATCTGCCCGATCCCATCGGCCGTGCTTGCACCACGCCTGTTGAAGGCCCCGTCAGGCGTCAGTCACCGGCTGGGCACATACTGCTGATCAGAGCCGGGCAACAAAATAAAGGTTACGTTATGGAACATGCCAGTGAGTTTGTGAGTCAGGAGATTTTGTGATAGCGAACGCTGGTGCTCGGTCCCGCATGGCCTGCTGATATCTATTGTCTGCCCGATCCCGTCGACCGTGCCAACAACCGTCTGTAGACAGTAGTCACTGGAAGACGGCCACACACACACGCCAGCCCCCCCCCTCGACGAAAAGTGAGTGGCTACAGCCTGCAGCCATCAGTAAGCCTTGAAAATTTTCGGCGCATGAAGCATGGCTTGGTAAAATAATTTCGGCGCATAAACCCTTGCGCCGAAATTTCGGCGCATCACCTCCGCCGAGAACTTCAGCGTAGTGGAGGCATTTTTTCCAGTCGGGGGTGAGCCCACTACAGTTGTTATACATATCTAAAAACCGATAAACTTTTAGGCGAAAAAGGCACTATTCCAGGCCCATTTTTGATTTTTTTGCGATATTAGGTAAAAACAGAAGCTTCTTATCCTAGGAAAAATAAAACGGGAAATCTTTCAAAGGTGGCACACTACCTTTTAAACGCCCCCAGCCGATAACTCGAGAACCAATAGGCGCAGCGAAACGCACTAGGCGGCAAACGAAAGAACGCGACGAGACGCTTCAGATGAGTACTTTAAAGTTGAATTTTGAGGTCACAGGTCGGGTCAAGATCAGGTCAAACACCTGAAATCGGGCTTTCAGTAGCATGGACTTCAGGACTTCGCAATGGGCGCCTCTCGTCATAAACTCTGTCAAAACGGTGCACAATCCATCATATAAGGTCTACAAGAGTGTCAGCTCCATGTAGGGGTCAGTCAAGCATAGGTCAGGGACAGGGTCAAGGTCAGGTCAACCGGGTAGGCACATATCCCCGAAAATCAAAACTGATATTCGCAGCCCGTGACACATGTTCATTGTTCATGGGTAATTTGGGGCGTAGAACACGATGGTGACATTCATTTTATCATATGTGTACGCGTTTGGCTCAAAAAGCTCAATTTAAGAAATGCATGTATCATGGTCGTCAAGTAGTCACGAGAAATTGCCAAGTTTTAGTTCAAGAATTTGGAAAATGCGGAACGGTAATCAATAATCGAAGATAGCCATTTGATTGTTCATGGTATTGGCAGTCTAATGGCGTTTACGGCATGTCTATTCTGTGATTTTATACGATTTTTTTGAACATATGCCGTTTTTGGTCGAAAACTCAGAAATCATGACGTCACTAAAACCTCGATATCTCAAAAAAATTTCCGACCGATTTTTTTGAAACTTTGTCACAATAAACTTCAATCAATTCCCTACAGGTACCCAAAATTTGGCGCATGGCCCGGCGAAAAAAGTGGGGGCGTTTAACGCCCCCCCCCCCCCCCCAGCAACTCGCGGGTTAATTCGAGTTTCGAGGGGTGTTCACGGGCACCGTAAACTGCTGCGTGCGGTGTGTCCAGCAGGCGTGGGGGTAGGGGATGTGTAGGCGGTTCTGACGTCACGGCTGCGTGCGGTGGACGGTCCGCTGTGGCCAGTCCCGACCGGCCACAGCGGTCGCTGCGTGCGGTGACGGAAGGCTGACGTAGGGACGTAGTGGGCGGAGCTTAGAGCCTGTGTACGGTCCGACCGCACACAGGGTCCGTGAACAGCCCTCCGGACTCAAGACAAAAAAAAAAAATCGAATACTATCATGGCTTCAAATTTACCAGAGTATATACCGTATACTGCACTGAGCCTGGGTGCAGTTTCATCACCGAAATTTCCATTGCTTACTAGTGTCTCGTGGTCTGCGTCTATCGCACGTGATTGTCGAACTATTGCTAGTGCTACGTCTGCTGCGAAGCGCTGTGATAAACCCAAATCGGGAAAACTGAAGACTCCTCGCCTCTTGACCACTCGGTCCATCACTCCTTCAAAACTCTGCACTGCAGTTTTTCTCTTTTTTTTTGTATTACCCGACGCTCCGTGACGCCGGCCGGAGCGCGGTCACGGTGGTGCGCGCTCCGGCCGGGACGGCGGCGGGGCGAGGCGATAAAACAGTGGCGTGTCCATCGGCCCTCCGTCTGGGCGTGCTCAGTTGCGGCCCTTCTTCTTCAGGTAGTCCATGAGCACGTCTAGCGCCTGGGTCTCTCGGCCCCAGTCGCAGATGACCACGCACGAGCAGCCCACCACCTTACGGGCGGTGCCCTCGCGGTCGATCTTGCACAGGCCCGACCACTCGCCCAGCTTCTTGTTGTTGTCCACCTGGAGACAGGTTAGGTGGGGTGTTAGTTGATGAGCCCAAAAATCCGTAGCGGGGACACTGATCAGTGATCGCCGTATAAATGGGCCGATGTTTTGTAAACTTAGCCACGTAGGCCGTGACACAGATCATAGCACAATGGCGACGCCAAACAATTTGCCACTCGTACTTTCTTGCTCAAGTTTGACGCTTCTAAAAAGGTACTGGTAACAATGAAACGGGTAATTAGCATTACAACAATTATCAACTAATACAAATACGGCCAATGCAATACAATAAAAAATCGGGCTGAGGAGCTTTATGATGTGATTGAGAAAAAGACACCTGCCTGGAGTGAGTTAAATCCAATTCACTTATTTGAAATACAGCTTGGCGATGGTGGGCTTACAAAGGAATGGTGTATACCATCTGAGGTTATTTGACAGCATCTGTCAACAAGGACGCACCTTGAACATGGGGATGTTGTGCTCCACGCAGAGGGCCTCGACCAGCTTCACGTAGCTGGGCTCGTCGCAGTTGGCGGCCAGGATGCACAGGTGGGCCTTCCTCTTGTCGAGGGCCTTGACGGCCTCGCGCAGTCCACGCACCAGGCCGTCCACCACCATGGCGTTCTTGAGCACCTCCTGGACGGCCGTGTGGATGTCCATCGCCTCGCCGCCCATCACGGGCGCCGGAGCGGGAGCAGCATCTCTGCGCAGCCGCACAAGGACAGAGGTCAGCTGCAGCCGTAGGTAGGCACCCGCGACAGCGGAGGGGGAGCAGTGGTGGACTTCAGGAGGCAGCATTGCCGACAGCCATGGCAACAGGCGGGTGAGAGGCCATGTTAAGCTGTTATTTTTCTTTTTGAATTTCTATCCATTCTAACGGGATTTTGTTATAGTATTTTGCTACATTAGCATGAATTCCGACGTGTTTTCGGTTTCTGCGGGATTTCGGTTCACGTCGTAAAGTTCGTCTCATCGTGAATGCATTGCGCCAGCTACACTGCCAGTCTGGCGCCCCGTGGAACGAAAACCCGCAAATGCAACCGGGGCGCTGTTCGGTCGCAGTTTTTTATCAGCAGGCTGCAAGCATGCTGCTGTTTCTTGGCTCCTCAGTGGCCAAATTCACGTGGCCTATTCATTTGACCAATGAGAGGCCAAAAAGCGCCAGCAATAACTTCCTTGCATGTGAAAACCGACATCATGCTGAAAAAACAGCGGCCGAACAGACCTCGGCCTCTGCCGTGGGGTAAGGTGGGCAGGGGTTTTCGCACCACGGCTACGGTTCAACTACCGTCTAGATGAGTCTTCGGGGGAATAGCCTTTGCATTGTCTATGGCAGAAACTTGAGTATACGCGTAATGGCGCGTTCCATACGAAATCTGGCGCAATATTTGTTTGCTTCTGAACTTGTACTGTGAACTCAAGTGGGAGTGTTTCAATAACAATTTGTGGATTATTTGAGTTTCTTGATATAGAAGTAGAATAATAATATGAAACATTGTGTGAAAACTACAAATACTTACTGATACAATCAATTGTTTAGTATGGGAATTGATACCTATTGTGGAGAGGTTTGTCTGGCAAATGGCATGACAAACTTCGGTATTCTTATAGCAGGCGTCTCACATTGCCACCGGTTTGGGAAAAGTCGCTAGATTCGTCTGGTCTAGAGATATTTCTACCAAATCGCTATATAGGGTAATTACATAGCGGTGATTAAAAAAAAAAAAAACGGAATCTTTTTCTGAGGGAGGGGGGCAAGGGGGGGGGGGTACAACAGATAACTTGTTTCCCGGGAACGCCTGATCGGATTCAGGCTTGCAAGGCCGCGTTGGAAAGCGTTCGAGTAGACAATTAAGCCCAATGGCTAAATAGTAATGCGAATTATCATCGGATACTGGGGGGGGGGGTGCGTGGGGGATTGCCCCTGACCGATAGCTCGGGAACGGCTGATCGGAGCCAGGCTTCTTACAATGCGGCGTTGGAAAGCGTTTGAGTAGACCATCCTAATTAGTAATGCAAATTATCATCGGGATGCTGGAGGGGGGGGGGGGTTGCGTGGGAGGATTGCCCCTTGACCGATAGCTCGGGAACGGCTGATCGGAGCCAGGCATGCAAGGCGGCGTTGGAAAGCGTTCGAGGAGACAAGCCTGAATAGTAATGCAAACTATCGTCGGGATACTATAGGGGGATGCGTGGGGGGGGGGTACTAATGAGGATTGTCTACTCGAACGCTTTCCAACGCCGCCTTGCATGCCTGGCTCCGATCAGCCGTTCCCGAGCTATCGGTCAAGGGGCAATCCCACCACGCAACCCCCCCCCCCCCCACCACCATCCCGATGATAATTTGCATTACTAATTAGGATTGTCTACTCGAACGCTTTCCAACGCCGCATTGCAAGGCTGGCTCCAATCAGCCGTTCCCGAGCTATCGGTCAGGGGGCAACCCCCCACGCACCCCCCCCCCCCCCCAGTATCCCGATGATAGTCTGCATGACTAATTAGGCTTTGGCTTGTCTACTCGACCGCTTTCCAACGCGGCCTTGCAAGCCTGACTCCGATCAGGCGTTCCCGGGATTCAAGTTATCTGTTGTACCCCCCTTGCCCCCCCCTCTCAGAAAAAAACTGACTCCTTCTTTGAAATCACCGCTATGTAATTATATACCCTATAGGTAGCGAATTGGTAGAAATATCTCTAGACCTGACGAATCTAGCGACTTTTCCCAAACCGGTGGCAGCATGTAAGACGCCTGCTAAAAGAATACCCAAACTTCAAGCCTATCATGATCCAGCAGTTGTAACAAATTGTTTTGATGTTACATAGTACCTAATTGGAAACACTGGAGCATGGTTCAAGATGATGTGTTAAAGCTACAATATTTGTGCAAAAGCTTATGACTGAAGAGTGAAAACAATTCTTTATGATTGAAGGATGAAAACAGTTCTATATGATTGCTCAATCAAACATGGAAATGAATGACAAAAGTAGAGTTTCAACATTCTAGCATATGAGAATAACTTCAGAACTTAGTCCTTGTAGTATTACATTCTGTGTTCAGTTCTAGAATGTGTAAGGTTATTTCAATTTCTATGTGTCAGTTGAGGCATAAGTGGATTGCGAAAACACTTATTATTGCATGGAAGATCGGTACTTCAAACTAGTTCTGAGCAACTGATTGGCCTTCCAGTCTCCAGGTCAGGTCAATAACCTAAGTCAGGTAAATAGGGACCCCAGAAAAACTGTCCCAGAAACATATGAAACCTGAAAAACGAGCCCAGAGCCCTGTTCGGGTCCGCGCAAAATATTTTGCAGCGTGTGACGGCACACTTGGAATGACGTCAGCCACTGGCTCCGCCCACTCTCCGCCGGGCCGCCAGAGCCGAGGGCCGCGGCGGCCATTATTCGACACGTGACGAACCGTGGCGCGGATGGGCTGGTGGTTTTCGTTCAAAAACTGAATAAAATGCGTTCAAATGTGGTTAATAGCAATGTGCCACGGAAAAAAAGTGATAATGATACCCAAAAAACAGCATTCAAACCGCTTACAATAAGAAATATAGGACGGTAAACTTTAATTCGCGCCACTTTCGCCTCCTGCAGCTCCTATTTTCTTGTTGCGCAAAACTGAAAGATTTTGCGCGTGCCGACGTCACACATGTGACGTCATACGCCGAAGGGCGGAGCCTGGCACCCGAGAGACCCCTACTGCGCATGCGTGGTGCAAAATTTTGCAGTAGGATGCGCTGCCCGAACAGGGCCCAGGTCATCTAAGGTAAATAACGTCTTGTGACTTTGACATCTGCAATAATGCACGGGTAAGCATCAGCATCATTCCACATGTTCAATTGTTCCTAACTGCACTAACGCACGGATAATGGGTGTTGACATACGTAAAATTGCTATACCGGCCCGACAGTCTCTAGACACGTGTCTCAGGTCAAACATTGTGTCAGTCGGGGAAACTATGGTAAAATCTGCTATTTTTAGCAGTCTGCTATCTTTAGCAGAAATCTGCTAAAAATGGGTACGCATGTGACGTCATCGTACCCAAATATAGCAGATTTGGGTACGGCCCCATACAAAAGCAGATCTGCACCCTAATTGAGGCAAATGCACATCAAATGCCTGGCAGATTCATGATTATAATAGTGCTGAGAATGTCCTCTGATATTTTTGTTCAGATCCGACTATTTTCAAATAATGAATTTGAAAATAGTCTGATCTGAACAAAAATAGCAGAGATCACTCTCAGCACTATTCTCATCATGAATCTGCCAGGCATTTGATGCGCATTTGCTTCAATTAGGGTGCAGATCTGCTTTTGTATGGGGCCGTACCCAAATCGGTATCGGTAACCCTGGCGTCACCGGTAGCGTTTTCGTTCAAGGTTAAGGTTTCCTGTATTAACCCGCGCCCTGATGGAGGGGGCCATTTTGGCCCCCCCCCCCTGTGGTTTTTCTTTAATAGCGAGAAAACGGCGGCGCGCAGCGCCGCCAAATTTTGGGTACCTTACCGGGCATCAATTTGACACCTTCACACAAAATTTCAAGTCACAGGTCACCTCAGGTCAGGAGTTATTGAGGTCAAACTGAGGTCATGTTCGAGCAAAAATGAGCAAAAAACATGACATCTTGAAACGCTCACCAATTCTACAGTTAACAAGCAATTTTAAAGTTCTTTATGTGGTTGTGTAGAAAAAAAACGGTGCTACAAAACTGCTATCTCGGATTTTCGAAATTTTGGTATTTTGACCCCCAAAAATAAAAAAAAATTGATTTTTTTAGAAAGACTCAAAAAATTTCCAAAAAAATTTCGAATTTCGAAAAAAACCGGAATATATGTGATAGTCCCTGCGCTCTTCGATATACATACCAAATTTTAGATCGATACCTCTTTTTTTGGCCAAGTTATAGCGAAAAAAACTGTTAAGAATTGATGACGTCAATTTTTGAACTCAATTTTTAGCAATTCTAGACCTCGTAGCGCAAAACGGAGACCACCATTGAACTCCCCGTGACGAGCTGCATCGAATCGATACCCATTTTATGCAAAAATATCAACTTTGAAATTTGACCTAATTTGACCTGACCTTGACCTGACCTTGACCAAAACGTGACCTAAGCTGGCCCTAAAGTCTGTCTGACCCACATAATCGCATTTGTCATGTAAAATGAACCATAAAACATGTATCACACGACACTTTCATATTGTGACCCCCCCAGTGACCTGACCTCTGTGACCTGACCTGGTATCAGTGACCTCAAATAGCAAAATATGTGTTTGAAGAACATTTCTCCATCGATGATTTTCAATGAAATGCATTTTACTCGATTTTACAACGCATTTCTTGAAATGCCTGTCAACGGTGAAAATTCAACATTTGACCTGACCTGTGACGTCATCGGTTTGACCGAGGTCAATGAAATTGGGTCAAAAGGTAGTTCCCCGCTGGGGCTATCCAACACCGTTTACCGCTTGTCGCTATGTTGCGTGGTTCTCGAGATCTGAGGGGGGGGGGGCCAAAATGGCCCCCCCCCCATCAGACCGCGTTGCTCGGCAGACCCCATCTGGGCGCGGGTTAAGGCCGCCCCACACTGGAACTCGCATGCGGGTTGCGGGTTTGCGGGTTTTGAGTTTGCAGGCTATACTAATTCATAGAGTGATTAGACCGCTCCCTTATGGTAACTTTTGAATGCAGTGAAGCCGGTGCACCTTCAGAAACTTACATATAGTCGCAATACCAGCGCAACGAACCAAAATTCGACTCCAACGAAAAACCCGCAAGCCTCGCAGAACTCGCAGACCTCGCAGCGAGGAAAATCGAAAGTTGACTCACAATCAACTTTTGGAATGCGATGCAAGGTCGCTCGCAAGCTAAAAACATGCAAACTCGTCTGTTAGATGGTAGTGTGGGTCACTCAGCTTAGATTGTATTATTTTATTTCAAGAAACCCGAAAACTCAAAAACTCGCAACCCGCATGCGAGTTTCAGTGTGGGGCGGCCTTTAGGCAGCATTAGGCCACCGTGCCAAGCCGAAGCATGCTGTGACGACACTGGGAAAGAGAACGTACCACGCTATCAGTATCGACTGAGACTCAGATAGACTCAGAACGACTCAGGCAGACTCAAACTGACTCAGACCGACTCAACCGACTCAAATCGATTCCGATCGACTCAGACCGACTCAACCGACTCAAATAGATTCCAATCGACTCAGACCGACTCAGAACGACCCAAACTGACTCAGACCGACTAAAATCGATTCCGATCGACTCAGACCGACTCAGACCGACTCAGAACGACTCAAACTGACTCAGATCGACTCAAATCGATTCCGATCGACTCAGACAGACTCCGAACGACTAAGGCAGACTCAAACCGACTCAGGCAGACTCAAACTGACTCGACCGACTCAGAACTACTCAAACTGACTCAGACCGACTCAACCGACTCAAATCGATTCCGATCGACTCAGACCGACTCAGAACGACCCAAACTGACTCAACCGACTCAAATCGATTCCGATCGACGCAGACAGACTCAGAACGACTCAGGCAGACTCAAACTGACTTGACCGACTCAGAACGACTCAAACTGACTCAGACCGACTCAAACTCAAATCGATTCCGATCGACTCAGAACGACTCAGACAGACCCAGAGCGACTCAGGCAGACTCAAGCAGACTCAAACCGACCAAGCCGACTTAAACCGATTCAGATCGACTCAGACAGACTCCGACTCAGTTTGAGTCGTTCTAAGTCTGTCTGAGTCGCTCGGAATCTATTTGAGTCGGTTGAGTCGGTCTGAGTCAGTTTGAGTCGCTCGGAATCGATTTGAGTCGGTTTGAGTCTGCCTGAGTCGTTCTGAGTCTGTCTGAGTCTGCCTGAGTCGTTCTGAGTCTGTCTAAAAGTCGCTCGGAATCGATTTGAGTCGGTTGAATCGGTCTGAGTCAGTTTGAGTCGTTATGAGTCGGGCTGAATCGATCTGAATCGGTTTGAGTCGGTCGAGTCGGTTTGAATCCGCCTGAGTCTGTCTGAGTCGTTCTGAGTCTTTCTGAGTCGCTCGGAATCGATCTGAATCAGTCTGAGTCTGCCTGAGTCGGTTTGAGTCTGCCTGAGTCTATCTGAATCGGCCCGAGTCTGCCTGAGCCGTTCTGAGTCAGTCTGAGTCGCTCGGAATCAATTTTAGTCTGTTTGAGTCTGCCTGAGTCGTTCTGAGTCTGTCTGAGTCTGCCTGAGTCATTCTGAGTCTGTCTGAGACGCTCGGAATCGATTTGAGTCGGTTTGAGTTCGCCTGAGTCGTTCTGAGTCGATCGGAATCGATCTGTGTCGGTTGAGTCGGTCTGAGTCAGTTTGAGTCATTCTGAGTCGGTCGAGTCAGTTTGAGTCTGCCTGAGTCGGTTTGAGTCTTCCTGAGTTGTTCTGAGTCTGTCTGAGACCTGAGTCGATCGGAATCGATTTGAGTCGGTAGAGTCGGTCTGAGTCAGTCTGAGTCAGTTTGGGTCGTTCTGAGTCGGTCTGAGTCAGTTTGAGTCTGCCTGAGTCATTCTGAGTCTATCTGAGTCTCAGTTGATACTGATAGCGTGGTACGTTCTCTTACCCAGTGACATCACAGCATGCTTCGGCTTGGCACGGTGGGCGGTGGCCTAATGCTGCCTTATACAGGAAACCTTAACCTTGAACGAAAACGCTACCGGTGACGCCAGGGTTACCGATACCCCCAAATCTGCTATATTTGGGTACGATGACGTCACATGCTTACCCATTTTTAGCAGATTTCTCCTAAAAATAGCAGACTGCTAAAAATAGCAGATTTTACCATACTTTCCCCGACTGGTCCTATCCGGGTTCCTCCTGCTCCAGTCCTTACTACCGGCTGCGAAGCAGGAGCCCCACCAGGTAAGAGTACCAGGTAAGAGTGGTGTGCCAGGGTCATGAATTGTTTAAGGAAGGTGTACAATTAAATAATGCAATGTTACATGAAAGTATTGTCCTGGTCCTGATCGGCTGGACGACTGGGGAGATCCATTCAATGCCCTATTTTAGTTCAAGACCTACCGTAAACCGGGGTGACTTTGTATGTATCTGGCATTGATAAATAACAATTTGCGCTAGCGCCACCACACACCAGCTAGCGATTCGTCCAAAAAACAGTACGGCCCTCCTTTGTATCACAGGCCCCACGTGATGCGACATTCATGACGCATATGGTACTTACCCTTCCACGTCAGACATAGCTGGACAATGGAATTCCTTCTGAAAAGAAATAACGCAAAATCATTAGTGGTCATTTTCTGATCATACTGAATGCAAATTGAATGTCTACTGGAAATTATAGTTCAAGAAAATGAATACTTACAATGCGCTCAGCAGCTAGCCGCTAGCATCAAATTCAGAAGGAAGTTTACATGGTAGTGCTGATGAGTCCAGATACTCTTTTTTGAATTTTCTTATTTCTTTTTCCGTATATTATTTATAGAGCTTGAAGCAGCGAATTTTTCTAAAAATAAGGTTGACCAATTTTGAGGAAAAATTCAAACACTTAATTGTTGCTTTATCCACAACTCTAAGAGCCGCCGGTTTCACTGCTCCCAAAAGTCCAAATGTTCACAAGCCCTTTAGCTCATTCATTTTGCGATAATTTCGATACAGCGATCTGTGTATATATAGATGGGATCATTTTGTAAATTGTAAACCACCACTTGCATCTTTTGCAGCATGACGGGCGGGGCTATAAGCTTGCAACAATCCCTATCACCAGCAGTGGCGGATCCAGCTCAGTTTTTTTTTGGGGGGGGGGGCAAACCATAACAATTTATCGATTCTTTCCATGCCTCGTCAGTCGTCCATAGGCGTAATGTTGAAATTATGCCGTTTGGGAGGGGCAAATGCCCATTTTGCCCCCCCCCTGGATCCGCCACTGATCACCAGTATCAGATTCAGGCCTATGTAAACACGGCTAATAACTGGCCACTCGGGTGTTTGATTTTCGTGGTTTGAGAACCACTGAGAGGCACAGTGTCATAAGTACTTACATTTAATTTCGGATTTGGTATGTAGCTTCAAAAATTGATTTATATAGTAATATTACTCTTGATGCAGGTGTTTTTTTATTTTAAAGGGGTGGATTTATTTTAAACGATAAAAAGGGGATAAATTTTTACAAATGTATAGTACTTGACAAAGTTAGTGTAGCAAAACACTTTCGTAAAGAAGTGTAAACAAATTCCATCTCTATTGGCCAGTGAAAGGTTGAGTGACCCCGGGGAGGCGGCGCGGAAGGCGGGCGCGCTGTGATGTGTACTTTCGCTTTTACTTTCTCTCTCCGCAGACTTTCTTTCCATCGAAGCTGGTGAGGGCGGTCGGCTTGGAATCCAGTGCATGGATACTTGGGTGAAGGTAGGTAACATTATGCATATTTTGTTTATTTTCCTTGTTACAGGACAGGGCATTGATTCAGTTTTGAATTTTATTCGAATATCAGATATCAAAATAACTTTGAGATGGGTTAGGGGCAGGGGTTCTTACCCGATAAGCACCGGACTCAGACATAGCTTTTACTACCTAGTATCTATGACCGTGTTACTGCCAAGGGAAGGGATGTACCTAACAAATGGGAAAGTCAAACTTTTGTGGCCACTGTCACTGTTGTTGTTTTGGTTTAGGGCGCATGGCAACTTGGTTCGTGGGCACTGCCTATGCGACGTTGATGATTGATCTTTTCACAGCATGGTTTTCTAAATCATTTGCCAAACTGTTTGTCCAACAATGCATGATGCAGAGCGCTGTTCGGCGACCGGCTAGTACTCTTGCAGGCGCACATATGCTGTGCTTGTTGCCCCGGCAACGGGCTATTGACCAATGAGAAGCGCGCTGCGGGAGGCACAGGGTGAGGGAGGCACAGATATATGAAAAATTGCAGTGATATTGCACTATCCACGCCTCCTATTGGTCAATAGCCTGTTGCCGGGGCAACCAGCACGTATGTGAACACTGGCAAGAGTACAAGCCGGCCGCCGAACAGGGCCCAGGTTGGCAGGGTGATCTTCAAATATTCTCACTAGAGCATATGGTAAAGCTGAACTGAGCTGAACCACAGTGTATATAAAGCTGAACAACTTCACAGTCCACACACTGGTGATTGGTGATTCAAGCTGCAAAACATTGTTTGTGACAATATGGTGTGGTTTTTCCTTAATTTTGAGCCCAGAGTGCAAAAGAGAGATTTGACTGTAACACTTGTTTTTTGCAACCAAGGAGAGACACTATACCTACCCAGAGATCAAGATGTTTTCTAATCAAACCAAACCATACCTGACCTAGCTGCACTAGAGATCCATGGGGTCAGGCTCAGCCAGTGATTGACCCATCATTGTTACATTGAAGTTTATACATGCGGAAATTCTGCAGATTTCCTCTTTTGGTACACAATGTTGACTGTGTTGTGTTCCCTTGACTTTTGATTAGAATTGTCTCCTGATTTGCTGCGTTTTATTTGTCTATCGCTTTTCCCTCCTGCCCGGCCGGCACTCAGTGGCCCAGGCCATGTGTGGGCCACACGTGACCGTGCTGGGCCGACGGCCACGTCCAGACAGTCGTTGACCCACGAGTGTCACCAGGGAGAGGACCTGATAATTCTCTTCCCGGCAACAGCGAAAACAGAGATTCAGCCGACAATGAGTGTGTGAACTGCAAATTGTAAGACTGATAGGTACTGAACTGAATCATGTAGCACAAACATTGCTGAATAGCATAAACCTGCCTGTCCCGTAGCTCAGTTGGTAGAGCATTGGACTCCCGGTAGTGAGAGCCCGGGTTCGAGACGCTCCGGCGCTCGATATTTGAGACTCCTGACGGGTATGGTCTGCGGTTGGTGGGAGCAGCCGCAGCCAGTTGAAGTCAGTTGAGTGGGACAGGCCGTGTCCGGCTTTGAAGGGCACGTTAAACTTTGGCATCTAAATTCTCCCGATACCCGGAATTGCGCGATCGGACGGCAGGGGTCGGGGTCTACGCAACAAGCTCTGCTTAGCGTGGGCTCCGGCTCTGTCAATCCGTCCATTCAAACATTCGAGCTAAATTTAAAAAAAAAAAACATTGCTGACAATTTGTAGCCCATATTCAATATCTTTATACTTCCTATTAAATACCTATTGAGTGACAAATCACAAAGCATGACAATTTTGGTGAGATCTCATCACCTCCAGACCAGACTGACAAGAGTCAACACACTACACCAGCTAGGATGGAAAACTTGCACAAGCCCACACCAATGGACTAGAAATTTGCACCAGACTACACCAAATAAAAACCTAAAACTTCAGCCACAGAATGTGGATATTTGAATTAGAAGATTGTTCAGTTGCAGGCCTGTCCTGTGCATCCATGCATTCCTGAAACATGTATGGGTTCTGTTTGTGCTGGTAGTGCCAGACATTTGCGCCTGTATCCCACATTGATCATCACCGCTCCACTATGTCACGTTTGCAGGTGGCGGGAGCGGCGCGACTGTAGGTGAGCGGCGGGCGGGGCCGGGTGCGACATGGCCGGCGGCGCGCAGCAGTTCTGCCTCAAATGGAACAACTACCACGTCAACATCGCCAGCTCGTTCGACTCTCTGCGCGTCGACGAGGACTTTGTGGACGTGACGCTGGCCTGCAGCGGCTGCCAGCTCAAGGCGCACCGCATGGTCCTCTCCGCGTGCAGCCCCTTCTTCCGGCAACTGCTCAAGGTGGGTGCACCGGGCAGGCGGCACGTGGGAGACGGTGGTACGGCTGACATGGCAATAACCGGGCCGATCTACGTCGGGTATTTCTTCCTCGTGCGAATCCCGATTATTTGTTGGTATATAATGGATTGTATAGACACTCCTGGCACTCCGTGCCCTAGTTCGTGTATTCACGTTAATCGGCCTTCGCGGCTCTTCATTTACGTAATGTCGCGAGCATTAAAATGGCATGAATAGGTACAAGAGCAAGCGCACAATCATTCATTCGCGCTTTCGAAAAAAAAATGTCATGCGAGCGCCAGCTTAAAAGTAGGATAGGATGGACTGCTTTTGCAATAAGAATGCCCTCAATGTCCGTTTGAATGAGACTATGTCATCGTAAATACTAAATAGCACAGAATTGGTTGTAGGCTTCCACAGCTCCGTACACCAGCTGTCTCCTACCCGCCTCGGCACGTTTTCTCGATAGCCGTAATCGACCAGCGTTCCGCGTGTCCTGACCATGATCGGCAGCACTCACCAACCTACTCGCGAATTCCTCTAGAGTGACTAGCGTCGACCATACGCCGTGCGCTGCACACCCTATGGCACAATATCAGGCTAACTATCTGCGGTTGTTTCCTTCATAACTCATGTAGGTAACATGTCAGATATACGGGCTCGTTTGCGACGCCCGCTGATCACTTATGCTGCATCATGTAGCCTTTGGCACAACGTTTGTGTGAAATATTCTTTAACACAATCGTCGTATTTACCTTTGGCTACCAATATGCTAAAGAAAAAGTCCTAGATATACATTTCACACATCCTGGCATCCATATCAATCGCAGAAAGTTTTGTAGCAATCTTTCAGTCGGCGTAGCTAGGGCGAACATCTACTATTTTCTTGAGGTGACTCAACTATGGATACAGATTGCCGGCAAGGCGCCTACTGAGCTACATTACCTGACCTGACCGGACTTACCCAAATTGCATGAAGACATCATGATTCATCTTTGATCAAAAGTAGCATGGAATTCGTGATCTGGACAAAAAAAAACATGTTTACCTCACTTTACGGAGTTCTAGGAGATCGGCCCATACTCCGACTTTTGGGTCAGTTGATTCATTTCGAAGATCAGCAAACTTGAATCTTAGAATTGGGTATCATCGAATTTCTCTCCTCACGGGAAGCACGCTCGTTTTTCCGCGAAGCTCCAGCTCGATCAGGGGCCTAGTGGCAGGGGGTTTAACGGACCCCCTCCCCCCTCCCCCTCCCCCTCCATATATGTATACATGAGACGCTGTAAAAAGGCCAATACGGGCGAGGATTAACCCATCCCGGCCGATGAAATCACCCAAGGCGATCCGACATCGTTAATTAAACAGACTGCAGTGTTGTTTCCATCGTCTAACGTGCTTTATAGAACGCACCCGGATATTCAGTGAAAGTAACTTTTTGCGCTATTTTATTACCTTCGATGGTGTAACTTGATGTTAATTGCTAATGCTTACTAATCCCAAATCTCGACGAAAAGTTTTTCTGCCTACTTCTGTAAAAATTATAATTGTTCATATGCAAAAAAAGTTAACAAAGCTAACCTCGCGATGGTAAATACATCCACACTTGTGGTCCATTCCTTCCCTTCGTGACCGTTGGCTGGTCGTTTTTTTTTTCTGGCTGGGGGCCGGTTTGGCCACCAGCGGGGCCGGTGTGAACCCGCCGCGTGTCGCGCCACGCCGCGGCGCCGTTCCCGGTAAAAGCGCCCCATTTGGACGAAAGCACGTCTGTGGCTGCGAGCGCGGCGGCGCCACGCCGCTCACGTCGGCGTCTGGCTGAACACGGCTGTCTGATCTGCTCGAGTAAATCATGCATTTGATAATTTATCTGTAATTCTATAGCCGTGAATGTAAACAAACTTTATAGGTGCCAGGTGGTCCATGAGTCATATCAGCAAAACATCCATGTTTTTTTGATTGAATACAAGTTGGTTTTAAACTGTTTGGCGGTTTGTATCAAAAGTCATAAGATAAAAACTGTGATTTATAAATAAACGCCTATTTCGCTTTCCAGCCTGTTTTGCGAGTGCTTAACCATGAGCCTAGAGTCAGAAATGGTTTTACTTGGCGGAAATCACTGCCAAAACTTGTTTATTATTTTCTAATTTGTTCCTAGTAGTGACAGAAAAGAATCATTGCATCCTGTATTTCCATTTGATAGTGTTTGATCGTCTTTTGTGACACAATGGTCGGTTGGTTTCGGTCGCGAGTGTTCGCTCGTGACGGTATGAGGCTATTTACCCCAGCGTCATAGGTCGGTCGCTCATCATTTTTAGTGGTTTCCCGACCATCCGGTCGGTTGCTTGTCACAGCGTGGCCAAATTGGTGATGTTACGGGGAAAGTCACCCCCAATGAAAAGCATAATGACATCCTCAGAAATTTAAAAATTACATCATCACAACGTTTTTGTTCTGAAAGCATACCTAGTGTAGTAATAAAGACTAAAAACGTTCTAATGTACGATTCGCACCGTCATACTCGTACTGTCGCGCTTGCAATGTTTTTTTTTTTACATCTTTGATGACAATATTTGATTTTTTTACTTTCCACCAGAGCTTGACGTCAGGTATAGTTTTTCCACATAACTTGTAAAAACTGCACCTAAAATGACACTGAAGACGAGTTTTTTGAAAATAGTGACATCCTCATACGACTTTTTTTATACATCCTCCCCCTAACGCTAAACCAATTTGGCCACACTGGCTTGTCACCTTGCGTAAATATCTCGTATCTATGATGCACCGCTCGTTCTCGCGGTCTCCGGCTAACCGTGTCTGTATCGCTCCGTTTCAGTCCAACCCCCACCCGCACCCGATCGTGATCCTGCGCGACGTCAGCCAGTACAACATGGAGCTGCTGCTGGACTTCATGTATCACGGCCAGGTGAACGTGGCACAGGAGCAGCTGCCCGAGTTCCTCAAGGTCGCCGAGCTGCTCAAGGTCAAGGGTCTGGCTGACGAGAAACGCGAGGAGGCGGTACGCGCCGGGCCCAATGTGAGTGGACGGTTCGCTGTGGTTGAGGGGGCGGGAGTCGGTTGGTAGAAGGGTGAGGTATGGTGAATGGATCATCTTCATGCTATTTCATTTCAATTATAATTTAGTTTCCTGATGTCAGTAATGTTTGATTTTAGTCTACTCAGCCATTTTCCTTGGGTCGTATTAGTGACATTTTTAGGCGTTACGGTTCTGGTTTATTATGTCTCTGCAAAAGATAACTCAGTAGTCTGTCAACTGGCCATGCGAGTACACCGAATTGTGGATATCACAAACGATTGATTGATGTTCATTCTTCGAACGACTCACACGATTTTAACTACGCCTTAATAGCTCCTTGGCAATTATATCGCCTATAACTCCGTTCCTTCTGTACACAGGGTCAGCCGAGCGGCGTACGGACACCATCCTCGTCGCCCGCGCCGCCGCCCTCACAACCCACCGCGCCAGCCCCCGACGAGTCTCCGCCACCGCCCGCCAAACGCCACCGTCCGCTGCCGCTGCCGGGACTGCTGCACCACCCGCCGCCGCCGGCGGCAGCCGCCCCCGCCCCCGCCCCCGCCGCGCCGCCGCCGCCGCCGCCCGGCGCGGGGTACGTGGAGCAGGCGCCCGTGAAGCGGGAGCCCGTGGATACGGAGCTGGGGGAGTACGGCGCTCAGGAGGCGCACGGCACCCCGCCGCGCTCGGGCGGCGGCGGCGACGAGCGGCTGCGGGCGCTCCACCCGACCGGCCTCTCCCCGGAGGCCGGTCGGGTGGAGGTGCCGGCAGAGGTGGCGATGGAGGAGGCCGAACAGCCGCTGCCGCCAGAGGCCAGCCGAGGTGAGCGGCGAGTGGGGCGGGAGGGTGAGGGGAGGACAATGGGGATGAAAGAGGATGCAGAGACTACATTGAAGGAAGCGACACTTGAGCAGTTAGGACGGTTATGAACATTGAAAGGGAAGCTCATGAAGAGAGAGGACTGCAGAACAGAAATGAAAGCGAACCGTTGAACTTTTCCGTTCCATCAGCCTCTCACGTCCGCTCTTGCTTCAGCTAGCTGATACCGTGCCTCCACTTCGTCGCTGCCTTTGTCCCTCCTTTTTTACCAAATTCTCCCATTTCATCTGTCTCTTTCCACGTGGATGATCTCTACTGTCCCCGTCTAACCCCTGCGTCTATCTGTGTCCACAGCGCAACCCGTCGGTCCCGGGCCGTCAACAGGGCCTCACGAAGCCAGCACCGACCCTCTGAGTGAGTACCCGAGACACCCAGGCCCAGGGCGCGGTCCACCGCCCCTGTGGCACCGGTCAGGCAGCATGTGAGAAGGGGCGCCCGGCGGTCGGCGGCGGCGGAATGGGACAGTAGACAACGCTCGGTCGCTTGGGGCCTCACAAGACTATCGTCAGGTTTCTGCTCCGACATTTTTTGGCACCACCAAGCTTTTACTCATGGAAAACTTCGGTGACCGGATTTTAGCTTAGTCTGCCTGTTAATAACATTAGTTTAAAAAAGAAAACAATAAGTAAAATTACAATGTAATTCTGCATATGGAAGTGAGGATAATAATTTATGCAGATACGTATCACATTTTTTTATTCGGCTTAAGCCCTACTGTAAAATTGCTAAACGAATGCCACATTGTCATATAATACACTCGGTAATTTTTACCAGACGGCAGACGCCGTTTCAGACACGTAGGTAAGCTTCATAAGGAAACTGCACACTGAGCAGGAAAGGTCTTTTGGAAAGTACGAATCCCTCCTAACTGGACGGTGATTTAATTATGTGATTTTTACGCCAGTAACGATGGCCTTTGTGTCGCCGTCCCTGGGAAACACGTGTCCACTGCCCGCCCGCCGCCGCCGCCGCCGCCGCCGCCGCCGTCCCGCGCCGCTGGCGCTCAGTGTGCGTAGACCGACTGTCATGCCGCGATGTTATCTTCACTCTCACTTCACGCCTTCCATAAGCTGTACCGCCGCTGCGCCGGTCAATCCGGCCGCCGCGCCGGCCCACCAGGCTCGGCGCGGCCCTTGTCTGTCTGTCTGTCTGCCTTGTCTGTCTGTCTGTCTGTCTGTATGTATGTATGTATCTCTGGCTGTCACCCCGCCCAACTGTGACGGCCTACCCCTCCCCCCTTACTGCACGCTGCACTCTGCATGCATTTCGGCAATGTCGGCCCGCCAGCATGGCGCCCTGTTGAAGCGAATATGTCAGCCGCCATCGACACCAGTTTCGGCCCCCGGCCCCAGCGGCTGGGCCAGGGACAGAGTCGGATCATCACCTAGGTCGATGACGCTTTTTTCCTTCGTTTCATTAGTGAAAGGTGGCTTTACCGTTATTAGAGGCTCTCCAGGGTGGGCACGCTGGCGACACAGTACGTCGCTTCATAGAGGGAGGGGGGCTAAATGCATCCGACTCTCCGGTTCATCTACGCAGTCGGCTCCAGCTATACGGGTGTGAGGACAGATCGTGATTGGGGAGTAGGTAACGCTGTGGTGGTTTTCACGATATAATGATGTAGTCGCTGCGCTCCAATATCAGGGAACGGGGAATCAGTAACGTGCTGTTAGAAGTTTTATAGTGGCGAACCGTCTGACCTGCGCAGGTTTGGAGATCGCCTGCCCCTAGGTAGTTGTCGGCTGAAGGTGGGATAGATAGCTGAAGCTGATGATTTCATATTAAGTCAGAACTACAAAAATAGGTGGATAATTTTAGTTCAGCAGGAAAACGTGATTTCCAAGCTGAATTGTGCTAGCTGGCTTTGGTTTGTTTGCCTGGCATTCTGATGAGCGGGCAGGCCTCATTTTGTTAGAAGTTAGTTTGACCTTTTTCAGCAGCGGTCGTGTTATTATAATCTGGCATATCAGCCAAGCATTGAGCACAGAGCGGGTTTGCAGCGGTGAGATCCCCTTTGTTTAAAGCGAAAGCATACCAGAACTTTTTGCACTAATGCAGTGAGCAAGCAGTCATTTTGTTAGCTGTTGCGGCGAAACGATCTGATTGTTTCTGGTTTCCGCCGTGCGCTGGTTGTAGTCTGCGCCTGGTGCCTGGTGACTGGAGAGCCTTTCATTTGAAATCGAGTGAAAGTCACCGGGCGTGTAGAATAGCAGATTGTTACGGACGGGTTTCATCAGCGTTATTCGTATCCAGTTTTAATGACTGTTTTTTTTTTTTTTTTGGAGGAAGACAACTACCTACTGAACCATGAATGATGAAATGCTTCAAATATTCCAGTAGTTTGTTTCTGCAGCGTGCATTTTTTCATTTTCATGCGAAACAGCAACCATGCGTATACTCAAACGTCAAGGTGCTAGGTGTTTCATTCGAATACCCCCGAGTACTCGTACTCCCTGACCGAAGAGTGACGCCATTCTTATCTGCGACTCCCTACCCACTCCTCTCCACGGATTTGAGACTCGTACTTACCAACCGTAGCGTGATTGAGCAGGTGTGCGGTTTTCGGACGGTATGAACCCGCTACTGACGCCACGCGAGGATCAGATGTCGGTCCGTTAGATCCGATCACGGCCCAACCGGTTCGTGAATTAGGTACTTGAGTCGCTGTTACCTCATCGTCGTGATAAGACGTACTACAGAAAGTCGTGAACTCGCGATGCGTCGTCTATGGCGCTCTGAAATCGAGCGGCGGCGGTGGCCAGTCAATGGTGCAGCGTTTCGAGCCGGGCTAGCGGCTATTCGGATAACATTGAGCCGGATGTTCAAGGCCGAATGCCGGGCGTTTTTTAGCGGCGTGCATTCCTCATCTTCCCTCCCCTAATCTGATGAAGTCAGCTGGGCACAGCGTGATCGCACCGCGATGTTTGGGGACCCCATGGGGTGGCTGTAGGACCCAGGGCCGTTGCGCGGTCGGCCCTGGCCACCCCAGCCCGCGCTCAGGGGTTCCTCGGGTGCGTTCTGCCTCCGACCGACCGCCGGCCCGGCCGCCGCCGCCGCGGAGCATGAGTGAAAGTGAGTCCGGTCATGGTTTTCGACTGGTTACGTCTGCGCTGGCTCACGTAGGCCGCGGCGCTGACGCCGATACGGGCCCGCGCCGCCCTCGGCGGGACAGAAATGACGCCGCCGCGCCGCCGCCGATGATTTGCACGTGCATTGCACGCGGCGTGGTGAATAGGAATGAGCGCCGGTGATTGATGCACGGCCGGCCGAGTTGGCCGCCGCTGACGGTGTCCATGGGCGAAATGTTTCGAAATGATGGGAGCCTGTCTTGGAGTCGTCTGTGACACTCTGCTGCTTTGGCTTTGAGGAAAGAAAATGAATGAAAATGAATACAGTCACCGGAGAACGTCATTCCTGCGTTTATGATTGATTTGTTAATACAGTTTCAGTGAGTAATTCAACTTACTTGGCCGTCTTTATCATTTGTTGGGGACCAGCAGGCATATTTGAGAACTCGAGAAGCTTTTGACCGTCCAGCTCCGCCTGGCAGCTGGCTCAGATAAACATCTCAGAACCACCTACTTTGCAATACTTTACCCCAATGTTTCTGCTTGCTCAATGCACCGATCATTTCGCAACCGCCCAGAATTCATGACCACCGCTATTTGCTAAGCAGTTGGATGCCGAGACTAGCCGCATCATTGCGTTCCGACCGTGGCTTTCCCGACCGGAGCTTTCCTGACAGGAGCTTTCATCAAGTATAACGAGTAGTGTCGGGTTGGTGAAACACCAGCTGAGTGTGGACTGTCCGTTTCGTGCTGACCCGTTACACCGGCCGGCGCGCCGGTTTCACCCGATTCCGGGCGACTTTCCTGGCCCGCGCTGGGTTTCGCAACGCGTCTGACCGTCTGTCTGGCCGCCGGCCGGGCCCCGCCGCACACAGCCGCTATTTGAGTTCGGAAGTGGCCAAAATGCGATAACTCGTTAACCAGTTGACATTTTGCCAAGCAATTTTTATTGTATGTGAAGTCAACCGTAAGGTCACATATGGGAACGTATGAGCATCCATACTCATACATCCTTGCCGTAAAAAAAATATTTTTGCTTGTAATCCGCGGATGACGGGTATATCCCATAACGTGAGTGACTCGGGAGGGGATTCTGCATAGCTTCCCTGCTGTCTTCGAAACTACTCGTTCAATACTAAAAGTTCAAACGGCTTCTGATAGGAATAGCTGACAAACGAAACCTAACTTTGTCACAAAAGGTCATGGAAAGGTCATGGGTCACACAAGGTCATGGAAAAGGTCATGGAAGGAAATGTAAACATTTTTAAGGTCATGCGACTCATTTTTAATGGTCCATTTCGGCAAAAGCATCTAAAAATGATGTCATCTGGGTCGTCCGATTCGAAACTATTTCCATTCGTCAAATGAAGGTCAGGTCACGGCGAGGTCAGAAAGGCCAAATTTTGAAGTTGAACATTCTCAACAAGAAAGATGTGCATCGGATGCAATTTGAGCTCTGGAACACGGTGATGCTATTCGTTTTGGTTTTTGATGTCAAGAACGTACTGAAATTGCCTTTGCAATATCGAAAATTGTGATTAACCGACTACGGTAAAATGCAAAAGCCGATAACATTGCCATTTCTGAAGATATCTGGCTGAAACTTTCCCAAAGCAATGCAAATGTTACATACAAAAGCCAATAAGGTTCATTCTGGTCGATGGCTGCTCCCCAAAACTCTTAATGTTATCAACCATATCGGACATTCTTACGATGTTCTGTTGGCTGGATGTCTTTTTGCTTTATTGAATTTGATCAGACTACATTCAGTTAACCCGCGCCCCGTAGGGGGGGGGCCGAAACGGCCCCTCCCTGTTCTTTTCCGTCAATATCTCCTAAATGGCTGGAGATATCGCCACCAAACTTTCAGGACCCCTCCGGGCATTAATTTTACACATTGTGACCAAAAATTTTTCCAGATGCTATGATAGGTTGGCCACAAATGACGTCAGAATGACGTCATGTTCTGTCATTTTCGACCGAAAAAAGCCTTTCGCGAGAAGACCTGTCAGGCCTACAGCTTTGAAGATACAGAAAAATGATCAAGACATAAAAGGTGTAGAATTGACAGGGCTACAAAACTGCTATCTCGGATTTCTGAATTTTTGAATTTTGACCCCCAAAAATCAAAAAAGCATTTTTTTTTTATATATTTGCCAAAAAATCCAAAAAGTTTTTTGAGTTTCGAAAAAACCGGAATATATGTGATAGTACCTACCATTTTCTATCCACATACCAAATTTCAGATCAATACCTCGTTTTTTGGCCAAGTTATAGCGAAAAAAC